AGACTTATAAAGACTAGCATAAGAAGTTTCCATTTTCTATGTTTGCCTATTGAACTTTAGTACGGACATCAACTAAGGAAACCCCTATTTTTTTAGCCTATAGGATGGAAGCTATGTTACCCATTGAGGTAGAAATTTTGTCACTTCGAGTTCTATCAGAGGTGAAGCTAGATAAAGTATAATAGGTACAAGCTAGGTATGACCAGCTAAATCTGAGTGAGGAGAAAAAATCAAAAGATATCTATCATGGTCAAATGTACGAGAAGCGTATGATGAGGGCACGTAATAAGAAGGTTCGCCCATGAGAGTTTCATGAAGGAGATCTAGTACTTAAAAAGATTCTACCGATTCAAAAAGATTTTTGAGGTAAATGGATGCCAAATTGGGAGGGACCTTATGTTGTGAAGAAAGCCTTTTTCTGGAAGATCTTTGATCCTTACTGAGATGGATGGACTAGAATTACCTAACCCAGTGAACTCTGATGCGATCAAGAAGTATTTTGCCTAAAAAAGGATAAATAAAAGGGGGTTCAAGATAAAAATCCGTAAAAGGAGTCTTGAAAGCAAAGGACATCTCAAGTTGAAAACTCGAAAAGGGCGGCTTGGTTGTAATTTAAATTCAAGATTTGTGCATGGTGAAGCTTCTGAATTGATTTTGAAGTTAAAAGGGGTTCTGATTTGAGTAGTAACATCAAATGGTGATCAGGGTTGGGACTAGATATTGAAAAAAGCTTGATTAAAACAACCAGAAAATAAATTGAATGCATACGAGATTCAAAATTGGTTTATAGCATCCAACGTATGGAGATTTGGTAGTATAGAGGGAACTTCACACCCTTGCACATCATCACAATTCTCGAGATCCCTTTAACAGAAGCTACACTTGAGTTACTCTGCTGAGTGGCAGTTCAAAAGCATTCGTACTATTGATAATTGGGGACGCTTCTTCATTTTTTTTTTACTTTTTCCAGTTAAAAGTTTTCCATGTATTTACCCAAAAACTCTTTACATTTATATAAATAAAAAGAGGTATTTCCTTGTTAATACCCTTTTGCAAGCATCTTATATTGAAATTAAATTCATGTAGTTTAACTGACTTGAAAAAATGAGATCAATGTGTATTATTGTGCAAAATGTTTTGGGAAAATACAGGTTTTCCCGAGCTTACAAAGATTTTAGTACGGATCTTACCTATCAACTAGCTAGATGATTGACACATTAAGGTGTCTTAGGGTTTCCAACCACTTAGAGGTGTTTCAAAAATCTTTATCACCAGTAGGGAGGTGAGCTTTAATGCATAATGAATTCTCAAGGAAAAGAGAACTTGGTTCTTTGTTGCTGGAAGTGTCCAGATCCAAGCAATGTGCCTAAATTTACCACTTGAAGAAGAGATCTCCTAGTTGCCAGTTGACCGTGCAAAATGTTTGATTTCAAAAGTGAAAATCCCTTTAACCAAAGATCTAAATAATCAATATTGTGAGTTGGGGTGAACCAATGGTGGTGCTAGAGTCTGAGACAAGAATCGAATTCAAGAAGTGATCAACAGAATAAATTCCTTACCCTCCAAGGATTAAAAGTGTTAAAAAACCACATTATTGCATACATTTTAGGCATAAGTACGAGTATAACATCCATTTATTGCATAATAATAATTAAGCATTCTTAGGTTCTTCAAAAAAATCGTAGACCACCAGTGTTAAAAACTTCGAGGAAGTAGTAATTTGTTTTAAATCCAAAGATTGACGGATTTAGAAATCAACCCTGATTCAATCTTCCCTAAAGAGCAATGAGTGAATCAAAGTTTCCAGATCTTATCTACCCCGAAGAGCAGCAGAGCAGATCAGTTTTTTTCCAGATTTGATATTCCTTTAAGAGAAGTGAAGCAATTCAACCTCGATTCAATCTTTTCTGAAGAGCAGTGAAGTGAATCAAAGTCTCCAGATCTGATCTACCCTAGAACGCAACGAAGCAATTCCCTTTTAGCAGATTTGATCATCCCTGAAGAGCAATGAAGCGAATCCACCTTGATTTAACCTCTATGAAATAGACTAACGTTGTCATGTTCATTCAAAGTTGGTGGTGATCGAACGAAAATTCATGTCTATTTGTCTTTGCTTTATCCTTGTTCATACAAGAATGAGCAAAGAGGGACAGTTGTAGACACTTGTTTTCTCCCGGATCTTTTGTTATTATTATTATTATTATTATTATTATTATTATTATTATTATATTTTATTTTTTTTTTATTTTTTACAGGCCCTTACATCACCCGAAACCCAATAGTAAACTGGGCCCAATTACAAGGGGCCAATCGACCTAAACCCGAGCCTAGTAAAACCCAAAACAATTAGGGTTTTTGAACCCTAGGGTTTCCAGGTCCTTTCGCCACCACCGCCGCTGCTACCAAGAGATCCATTCACGTTGTGCTCTCACCGTAGCTACTCCAGTTACCGTGTACGCCGATTTCGAGCCTCATACATCAGAAAATCCAGCAAAATAATGAACAAATAAATCAAAATTGTCAGAAAATGTACCAAATTAAACGAAATCTGAAAAATACTCTTTAAAAATATTTTATAAATCCCATAAAATTTGGGTTTGTTAAAGGGTACTTTGAGAAATCATTCCCCCTACCATCTGACTCATTGAATCATCACCAAACAGGCAAACAATGTGAGAAATATAACATGCAACAGGGGACATTCGGGGCAGTTTTTTTTAACAAGAAAGAAAAAGAAAAAGAAAAAAAGAGGAGAACAAAGAGAGATCATAATCGAACATAAAAGAGAAAAAAAAAAGAGCGAAGAAAAGCCATACCTTACGAGTTTGAATAACTCAATCTCCTCGGAGTGGAGGAACCATCAAAGGTAGCATTTTATATTTTGGGTTTAGATTTGGTGAGGGTTTGTAAGGGTTTCATTTGGTTGTGTTGGTTTTGTGTAAAAAGGGTTTAAAAAGAGGAGATTAGGAGGCCATGGGGGTCACCAACCTTCGTCGGGGCCATTCGAGATTGTGGCCAAAGAGTTTATTTCTCCTAATTTTCAATTAAAAAAAGAGAGAATGAAAGAAGGGAGAGAGAAACAACTGAAGAAAAGAAATAAGGGGGCTTCAAAATGCTGTCTTTGAAAGGGTTATGGTTTCCAGAAACTAGCGCGTGGGCTAATTACTTGAGTGGGGTCTTTGGGTTTGTGAAGTTGTGTTTTAGTTTTTGTTTGAAGTTTTTTTAGTTTCTTATTTTGCCTTTTTATTTTATGCATGTTGTATTTTAGTCACCTTGACTTATTTTCTTTTGTTTATTTTAATTTTAGCATGTAATTTTAAATATTTTCATTTTTGTCCTAAATATATGTGGATTTATTACACTTTCAGTGCTTGTATTGCCTGTTATTTATACTTACACCCTTTTATTTTATGATTATTTTAATTTTCGTTATTAAATTTCCTGCACTTGCATCTTAGTCATTTAATTTTCAATATTTAATTTTCTGTTTATGCACATTAATTTCTAATTTCTTTCATTTTGATATGTTGTATATATTTGTGTTTGTCTTTATTTTATGCTTATGTTATTTATTTCTTGTTCCTCGCTATGCTATTATTTTTATTCGTTTTACTCCGATAAATTACACTTTAATTCTTAGATTTAGGCCCTTAATCATTTATGTCGTTGTGTTTAATTTACTATAGAGTTGTTATGGTTTGTTTATATCTTTAGCCCTTATATTTATTATTCAATCATTTTAGTCCTTATACTTTTTATAAATGTGCTTGTTCTATATTTTTAAAGAGATTTTTTTAACTTTTTAAGAATTATATATTATATATTATGTAGTGTCGTATACATATATTTGTTTATAAAGCTTTTCTATATACAAATATGTTTAGATATACTATGTGTTTGAATATACTTCATGTGAGATTCAAATTAACATTTAACATTGAGACTGATAATTTAATTAGAAAAATAATTGATATGATACTAAAAGTTTAAGAATGAAATTAAAATATTTTAAGATTTAAAGAAAAATGTAAAATAGTAGTAATAATTTAAGTACACGTGTAATCAACCATAGTTTCATTTTAACTTTGGAGGACAAGTTGGTGTTAGGGATGGTTAAAATATCCGAACACAACGGATGCTGACTCGACCTGACCTTATAGGGGTAAGTTTTTTTTTAATTTTAGGTGAAAAAATCAACCCGGCCCAACACGATTTGACCCGATTTAAATTAATAAGATTTTAGGGTTTTTTATTTATATATTGTTAAAATATATTTTTTAATTATTAAAAATATAAAAATTCTTATAAAATATTTTTTAACAGTTTAAAATATAATAAATAATTATAAACATATTTTTATAAAATATATTATTTTAACTATTTTAAAATATTAATATATTCGAATTAAGTTGGGTCATGATGAAATTTTTAATCTAAAAATCAGACAATGTCAAGGCGGGAAGAAAATTAGAATTTATGAGACGAAACCGGATATAAAAATATATTTTCGGATCAAAATTGGAACGGTAAAAAATCAACCCGACCCGTTTCATCCTAATGCGGAGGGTAAAGGAAAAACAGCTCCCATATTCCCGTGGGTATAACATGTGACTTGATACTACACGTGGCAGAAACCCACATGACATGAGTGATCCTGAGAATGTCGTCCACGTGGCATAACCGCTAGCAGCCCAGGAGAACCACCCAGTTCTCTCTCAGGATTTTGGCCGGGGATCGTGGGACCCACCAATCAATTTCTTTTATTATTTATTATTTGTGAAGAGTTTCGTTTCGTCCGGTGGTGGTCTGGTTTTTGCTATAAAATCAGCTTCAACTCCTTCCGTCTCTCACACATACATACGTTCTCTTTAACTCCTCTCTTTATTTCTTCCTTGAGATTTTCTTCTTTCTTCTTCTATATATACATACATATATATATATATATGTATATTTTCTTTGAAGTCTTTCATTTTGATTTCAATTCCTTAATCTTTGGGTTTCAAGTTTCAACATCCTACAAGACACAGAAAAAATAAACAAAGTACTCTGTAAACTCCCCTGTTTCCAACTTTCAGCTCTGTTACTCATTCATTAACACCCAAAAACCTTTTGAGTTTGAGTTCTTCTTCTAACTACTTTAATTACCAAAAATGGGTAAGCTTTAGTTTTTCTTTTCTTTATTGAAGAACAGCAAAATAAAAACTGTGGGCTTTGGATCCTGAGATATCCCAGCTTTACTAAACATGTCTGAATGTGGGCTGTTGTTGTTCCTTGTAGTTACTTTCATTGAAGAACGACCAAAGAACATGGCCGCTTGTCAAAATTTGGCATCTGATGCCAAATCAGCACAAAAGCCGCCTGCACCGCCTGGTTTTCTCTCCATTTCAAGCAAGAAATTGCTTCAAAACATTGAAATCAACGCCGGAGCAAGGGTTAATGCATGGGTGGATGCCATGAGAGCTTCTTCCCCAACTCATATGAAATCCACACCTTCCATTGCAAATGATGAAGGTTCCTGGAATGTAAGTCCTAAGCTCTTTCAAGCCTCCAACAAAAATGGGTTTTCATTTAAAAAAAAAAAGGCAATAGAGATTCTGACTTTTTATGGTTGATGGAATTGTTTAGCTGCAACATCCATCAGCACTGGACATGTTCGAGCAGATAATAGATGCATCGAAAGGGAAACAAATAGTAATGTTCTTAGATTACGATGGCACTCTTTCACCGATAGTAGCTGACCCAGACCGAGCTTTCATGTCCAAGAAGGTTAGCTACGGCTACTCTTTGCATAAAATTTCTGGGTGTTTTTAATCTATAGTTTTCTAATATTAATCATCATGTCTTGTGTACAACAGATGAGAAAGACTGTGAGAAAGCTTGCCAAATGTTTCCCGACGGCCATAGTGAGTGGTAGATGCAGGAACAAGGTACATTTCCAGGCCTTAAACTTGATCCTCTCAGTCCATTTGGTGTCTTTCACAGTTGATAAATCTCTCTTGTTTTGAACACTGTAGGTGTATAACTTTGTTAAATTAGCTGAGCTATACTACGCTGGAAGCCATGGAATGGACATTAAAGGTCCTGAAAAACATTCCAAATCTAACAAAGTGAGTCAACTCATGAACCATTTGTTTTGCATTAGGCTCAAAATCATTTACCCTTCCACACTCTTAACCTTGGTTTTTAATCTCTACAGGATACTGAACTACTTTTCCAACCAGCCAGTGAATTCCTTCCAATGATTGATGAGGTAATTTGCAAACACTCAGTGGAAACCAAAGCGAAGAGCTTGAAATGATTGACATTTTTCTTTTCATGGGGACGTTTTCCAGGTTTACAAGCAACTGGTTGAGACCACAAAATCAACTCCAGGAGCTAAAGTGGAGAACAACAAATTTTGCCTCTCAGTACACTTCCGTTGTGTAGATGAAATGGTAAAGACTCAATAGCAAAATACAAATCATCAAAATTTATAATTTCAACCATCTAATTTCTTGGGATTAAAACACAGAAATGGAGTGAACTGGCACAGAAGGTTAAGTCTGTGTTAAAAGACTACCCCAAGCTTCGGCTAACACAAGGCAGAAAGGTTCTGGAAATCCGTCCCACAATCAAATGGGACAAAGGGAAAGCCCTGGTGTTTTTGTTAGAATCTCTTGGTAAGTTCAATTACTTATAAGTAGTCAAATTATTCTTTATTACTACATGTGCTTTGATCCTTAAACGTGTGCACTTCGTGTATGCGCTTTCAATATTATATAATTGGAGTGTGTGTAGCAGCAGGCACACCAAAACATGATGTCATATTCTTTGATCAGATCACCAAGTGCTAATAGTAATATTGTTATGACTGTGTTTGCTATAGGATTCGCTAACTGTGCCGATGTTTTCCCGGTTTACATCGGAGATGACTGCACCGACGAAGATGCATTCAAGGTAAAATCAAACCCAAGACTCGCCCTTAATATCAAACCAGTGGATCTTTGAGGCTAATACTTCTGGTTTTCGTTGTTGTTTAGATACTGAGAGACAGAGGACAAGGTTTTGGTATTCTTGTCTCCAAGTTTCCCAAAGACACTAATGCTTCATATTCTTTACAAGAACCAGATGAGGTCATGAATTTTTTGCGACGTTTGGTTGATTGGAAAGAATTATCGATAAGAACTCAATCGAAGTTTTAAAAGAGAATGGAAAATATATATATTGTGCACTGCACTCTAACCAGAGTTGCAAAAGCGATGGGATTAAAGTAGTGAATTATTGCTTAAGATAATGATTATAGATAATTTTATCTTTTGGTGTTGAAAGCCTTGTACATCTTTGTAACTAGTTGGGTACACAGGGTAAAAACTTGTAGCTTCATAACTTGGTGTTCTTATCTAAAAATCACCATGACAGGAATTAATTATCTGTCAGACATTGTTTTAGAAAATATTATTGATTTAGTACCTTTTTTTGACAAGGTGTGGATCATCCATTGACATGGCACCTGAGATAAGTGCTAGATTCGTAAAATTTTCTAAAATGGTGACTGACAGATAATTAATTTATGTTAGGGTGATTTTTGTATAAAAACGTAAGGGAATATTAAGGAAGTAGCTATGTTTTGTTTGTGGGGAAAAATATAAAATTTAATTAGTTAATTATTTTTATTTTTTGTTTTTTGAAAAATTAAGTTCTATTACCATAAAGAAAATTACGTTCCTTTTACACTTGTCATTTTCTTCAAATAATTATTTTTTTTTTCTTTTTTTTAATAAAATATTTCATTAAATCCTGGAAATAAGATAATAAAATACCTTTTTTCTTCAATAATAATAATAATAATAATAATGAAAAATAGTGTCAATAAACTTTGTCCCGTCTCTTGATTTTGTCATTATTTAACCAACCTTTCTGTGTTTAATACGTTTTTAAATTTAATGTAGCTTCAAAGTTATTCTTAGATACGTTGAGATAATATGTATATGTATATATATATATATCGAGTATAAATTTCTTATAAATCTATATTTTAATATGTTTCGAATACGTTGATTGAATGGATAATTAGTGAATTCTTATAAACCACTACTGGTTTAAGGAGATACACTGTTTAAGGGGATGATACACGCTGGTATGAACTCATTAAATTTTTATTAATGTGTGATGTCAGTAAAAGAATACAAATTAATGACTCAATTATCAAAATAAAACGAATTAAAAATATAATAATAAAATATATTTTTTTGAAAAATCAATGATGAAAATAAAACATATTAAAATATTTGGTATAATTATAAATACTGTATTTTTAATTATTATATTAAAAATCAATTATAAATTATGATAAAATATTTTTCGTTATTATCATCATCATCGACCAATTAATATAGTATATATATGAGTTATAATCCAAATTAATCTTTTATTTTTCTATTATTCAAATTAATTAATAAAAAATATGGTAAAATGTTTCTAAAAGAAAAGTGTAAATACATACATGAAAATCTAAAGATTTTCATTTTTTTTTTGTGTTACTCTCTGAACTAGTAACAAAATTCAATAAAAAGAAGAAGGTAAAGATAAAAAAATATCATCTATATATTTAAAATATTCTTTCTAATATTAATTTTAAAAAATATAAAATAAATATTAAATTCTAATTTTATTAAAAATGAATACACATTATTAATTGTTGTTAAAAATAATAATTAATAAGTAATAATTCATTTAATCCATCAATTGTAATTAAAATTTTATTTTAATATTTTTTATATTTTTAAATAATTAATTTTAAAAGTTAAGAAAATTCTCAAAAATATATGAAATTTATATTTTTTTAAATTATAAAATATTTCTTATTATTATTATCATTATCATCATCATTTTGAAAAAGAAATACTAATTATAATTTTTTTATAAAATTATTCATATTTTAAATTACTTACCCTCAAAGTTTTTTTTAGACTAGACTATACATATGGGATTTTGAAATGGTCAAAAGGGCATTAGAAAGTGTCAAGTGGTAATTGATAGACATAACTGTATTGTGTAATTTCATGCAAAACCAAAATTTGTCGAGTTATAAAATAATTTGCAAAATCAAGTTTAAAGATTTTAATGAAGAAAGTTATTTTTGAAAGAAAGTTTACATTTTTAGACAAAAATTAACATAAAACAAATTAATTACATGTTAGACACTGTTTTAGAAAATTTTACGGATTTAGCGTCCATCCCAGAAAGGCGCAGATTATCATCCGCGCTTTACTCGAGCTGTTGCCACATCAGCAAAAAATGCGGATCATCATCCACGTCTTATCAGAAAGGGTGTTAGATCAATAATTTTTTTTGAAACGATGTCTGACAGGTAATTAATTCATGTCAAGGTGATTTTTAGGTAAAAACGCCTCATAACTTCTCTATTAATGCATGGAAAATAGTGATTGGGATGAATGTCGTATATGTGTATTTCTCGAATATTAATATATTTCATTTTAATTTTAAATGATCATATTTTTTTACATATTTGTTATCCAATGCCAACACACTATAAGACTATTTTAAAGAAAATAAATGTAGAGGAAGAGTTATCCTTCTAAAGAATTTTACCACATGAAATGATAAATCAAACTATAATGCTTCCTTCCTCTTTTTCTCTACTCCCTTCTTTAGTATTTTTTTATATTTTATTAGCAAGTAGTGCTACTAGTGTAAACACCCGTTTTATCACGGTTTTTTATCGTTTTTATTTTTTATTATAATTATTAAATATTAAAAATTAATATTATTTTATAGGTCATTACAAAGACCCAACTTGGGTCCAAGCCCAAAGCCCAATTACAAAAGAACCCAACTGTAACACCCCCAACCCGTACCTGACCCGGATACAAGTCCGAGATGTCACATTACCTTTTAAAAACAATAGGCTTGTACAAAATAATAGAAAATTTAAACTTATATTAAGAAATCCAATAATTTACATAAGTTTAATACAAAAACTTACAAAAATAATCAGAGCATATACAACTTAAACTTCTGATTACATGCCAACATTGATTTTCATAACAAAATAACCTAATGTTTAAGTTGCTTCTAATCTGATATCCATAGGAGTGATGCTATCCCTAACTACCTATCCTTGCTCGTCAAACTTCTAGGATCCTATATGTGAAACACTCACATGCTAAGTCATTAACTTAGTGAGGCATAATATTTAATAATACTATAATGAAATGGAGTACAATGCATTCATGTATTCATTAAATGCAACTTACATAACAATTCATTCCACACATAAGCTTATCAAAGTAACAATTATGAATTCATATTAATAATTCCATTAGCCCATGATACAATACTGAGAACTTAAGGTATGTGAGTGCATTGAGGTTGTGCACAAATGTTGTCACCACAACTCGTATAAATGCACCGAAGTGCCACATAGAAATGCACCGAAGTTCCGTGTAGAAATGCACCGAAGTGCCATATAAAATGTCCATAAAGACCACATAAAAATCTCATTGAGAACCATATAAATATTCCAAAGGACCAAATATGTGTCTCAAAGGACTGCATATATGTTCCAAAGGATTACATATATGTCCCGAAGGACCACGTAGACCCTCGACTCTTGGCATGCCAATTATACCTATAGCTCTCATTTAAATAACATGGGCTTTTCACAATTCACATAGTTTATATCTCATAGGCATATAAATTCTTAACTTTTATCATATCGTTTATGTAAACTTCTCATGCATAATCACTTAGATCATGGTCATATAATGCATAACATATGAGTTCATGTCATATATCATATCATGTAATGCAATCATGTATTAAATATGTGGGTACTAGACTTATCACAAGTCTAATTTAAATATCATACTATAACCATCCTATACATATGCACTAACCTATATCTCTTTGTCTTTTCCTCGATCGTTCTGACTCGTCAATTGTTTCGGAACTTGTTTATGCTCGGTATCTACATAAATATGATTTCCAAAACAATCATCATAATACTAAACATTATAATTCGATCTTAATAACTTAAGCTATTTGATGAACCTAATTCACAATTTCCTTATGAAGTAGTATCGGTACCCAAGTAACAGTACTGATATTTCCCTTATAATGGTATCGGTACTGTACCCGAGTATCGATACCCAATTTCAATTCTGGAATCCTTACTTCAAAAATGGTATCGATACCTGACTTATGGTATCGGTACCCATGGTATCGATACTACCCTTTTCGGTATCGATACCTCATGAAGATGTGTGTCAAATTTGATCTTATGGTATCGATACTTTCATGCAGTATCAATACCTACGCAACATTATAGCCTATAAAAGCTTTGTAGTATCAGTACTTTTTCATCGAGTACCGATACTACCAACTCGGAACACACTCCCAACATCTGAAAATCATCAATACTTTACTTAATTTCCATATTTAAAGTACCTTTCCTACCACCAAACTCAACTACAATCATTTTAACTATTTTTTATCATTCTTACACCTTAACACCTTCAATATCTCATTCAAATTCTTGAAACTAAGAATCTTACTAAATTTTCAACATAATCCAAACTCAGTTCTAATACTTATTACTTCTTATTCATACTTATGACAAGTCAAATCCAGCTTCCAAATTCATTTATTTCCTCTTATTCAAATTTTCACTTACAAAACCCTTACCTTGAATCCTCCATAACTTATTATCCCTTGGATTTTAAACTATTTTAAATATTCCTTAAGTTTTCCTAACCTTCCCAGAATTTAAAGCATACCTAATTTACAATAATCATTCAACTAAAGAAGTTCTTACATTACTTAGCAGCTCACGGAGAAGAAGAAGGAGAGAATGATGAAAAATAGAGAAATTTCTAGAGATGAATCCCCTAACTCTCTTTCCACGTATTATAAGAATCCCATAGATGAATTTTAAATTCATTTCCTTATTACAAGACATTTTTACCCTTCCAGCTTTCCTTCCTTTGATATTCACCCCACACAAAATATTTCAATTAAGTCCCTTAACTTTTCAATTTATCTAATTTAATTATTGAATTCTAAAATCTCACAATTTGGTCACTAACCCGATGTTTAGGATGTTACACCAACAAAGCAAACCCAACAATAAGTGACTCAATAACTGGTCCAATTTTCCAAAATCCTAGCCCATGTTTTTTGGAATCCTAGGGTTTTCATCATATCAACTCCTGCCACTGCCACTACAAACCGTAAAGCCCTCACCGGAGCACGCCATTGCCGACAATCTCCCATTCTCCAAACCAAAACCCATGTTCAAAAAAATCATCACCAAACCAAATCAATCAAAAAAGAAAAAGAAATCTACCTAATCCCAAAAAATTTGAGACATTAAAAGTCCTGATTTTC